ACTTGAAATGGCGCGCGCTTACGGTCTCCGTCCCCGATTATGGCTCCTGATACGATTCAGTGCGGGAGCGACTGCGAAAGCCTCATACGTTGGTCAGCGGATCTGCAAAAACGTTTAACAGGGAAAAGTGAAGGAGTGAAATTCGCCACTTAACATACAACTTGAAATATAGCTAGGCTATTTTCCGAGTTAAAAAGTGAAAAGAAATTTAGTGATAAGCGAGGTGGTATAGATACAAGATTAGTTCTTGTATTTCTTAAGTATTAAAGATAGCGGATCCATTTCTGTCAAGTCAGAGAAAAAAGACAAAAATAAACACACAAAAAAGAAACAGGTTTGTTTGTTTGTTTGTTTTCAATTAAGTTCATTCTGCTCAAGTACTCAACTCTGTGCATGCCTCTGTGGTCATGGTTAGGTTAAAAAAAGTGAGTAAGTCGTGCAGAAGTGTCATTCAAAGAAATAACCTCGTTCTAGGTTTGTTTCCCTCCTGTTAACAGCGTAGGCAAATGTGTCTTTAACATTATCTATAGAACCTAACTCCATCTTCACTCTTCTTGTTTTCTTTCAAAGACAGAAGGTAGCTTTTCATTGGTATATTTTGTAACTTTGTTTCAAATACAATGTTTGGACAAACGAGAGAGAGAGAGGTCTCTTTCATATAAGTTCAGTAGCCAATTACATTACGCAATTAACGAACATGTTAACGTTGGGTTCGGTTTTTGAGAGTTAAGAAGCCCTCGATAAAACACGTTAAGGGCGAAAAATTGCGCCAGTTTGTTTGTAGAATGATTCCTTCTTTCTACGCAAAATATTGTGATAATTAAGCAAAGTGTAAACATTAACGACAGTTAACATTCGTTTACAAAGGAAACACTGAAGTAAAAAAGCATTCCCCTGTCCTTTGCTTATCTCTGATTCGCTGTCGCAGGTTGGAAATGAGTTCATCCGGGGTATTTCAGGAGGAGAACGGAAGCGCACTAACATTGGAATGGAGTTGATTATGTCGCCGTCTGTTTTATTTCTTGACGAACCAACCACTGGTCTCGATGCATCCACAGCTGTGTCTGTCATTCAACTTCTACAGGGGTAAGAGGAGTTAGCCGACAGTTTTTACGTTTAATTAGCTCGCGAAGAAAGTTCTCGTGAGTTCTCCTATCAAGGAAATAAATTCTTTTTTCGACCATTTGTTATTTTTTCCTTCACCTGAAATACTCAGGCTCCACTCCTCTGCTCTCAGCGTTGTTTGTTTTTATTTTATTAGTTGTGCCTATTTGTAAGTCATTGAAATACCTCTAGACATTGCTCTTGGCATATGCCTGTATGTGCCCCTCAGATTGTCTATGTACCCTTTGCACATTCTCTAGGCTTGGTCGTCGAGGAAACACAGTCATAATGTCCATTCACCAGCCTCGCTATTCCATCTTTAAAATGTTCGACACCATTTCACTGCTGTCCAATGGCGAGTTTGTATACCAGGGCCCCGCGGTCGAGGCAATTGCGTACTTTGAGGATTTAGGTAACTTTCCTTAACTGTAAAATTGTAGGCGGAATTACTTATTAATTATAATCCCGGAAAGGTTTTAGATTACACACTCAGTCAGTAAAAAACTTACGTTTGGTTTTTGTATATGAAATCCTGATGAATTCGCTAACAATACTTCATTGATAAACACTAGTAAGTCACATTTTTGACCCAACCACCATCCTGTTATCTTAGTGGCATTTGTAACAGCTTAAAACGATACCCTCACTTATTTAATGCTGGTAATTGGATCGCCTTTGGCCACGAAGTTGTGGTCGTATTAAAGGGGTGGTCCTATTAAAGGGGGAAAATACAAAAATGACAGAAAAGTTAATTTCCTTTCACAAGACATAAAGCCTACGATTAGGAGTTCATTCATTACGAATACCAATAGGGAAATACACAAATAAAGGAATATCAATGCCTAGTTACTTAGTTTGTAACCAAAACGACACAGAAAATGAACAGCATTGCTCCATGTGTTGCCGCGCACATAACAACGTAATCGAACGAACTCCATTCCTTTGCTGTAAAACAGTTGCTTTATTCACTACTTTCACTGATTCAGCTAAAATAAGGTATTTACTAAAGTTAGCTAAATACAATCCCTGTAAAAGTACAGACAGGTCCATAAACGCAATTGTTGTTAACTGCTCAGTTATTTAGCAATATATAACCCTTCTGAATATATTTTTGTTATTATTCTCCTCAGGCGTTTTTGTTCAACATGCACTTATGTTACTCTTTTAAAAAAGCTGTTATCGCAATATTATTTGAAAATTGATTTGAATTTTCAGGGTACATATGCGAGGAACACAATAATCCAGCAGATTTCTTCATGGATGTTATATTTGACCATGAAGCGGCACAAAGACTTGGCCTGGGTGACAGTTCAGGTAATGCTATCCTTCAATCAGTTAGCTCATACTGTTTTAAGTTGTTTTAAACCCAAGCTTAACCATCTCCACATATTACCTTGAAAATTACGAAGTGGAAGCGCGGTGGCCTAATGGTTTAGTGCGCTGAACTCTGGACCAAGTTGTCGGTGTGTTCTTGGGCAAAACTTAACTGTCACACTGCCTCTTTCCATCAACGTGAATACATGGGAACCGGCGAATTTAATGCTGGGGGTAACCGTGTGTTTGACTAGCATCCCACCCTGTGTTTGACTAGCATCCCACCCTGTGTTTGACTAGCGTCCCACCCTGTGTTTGACTAGCATCCCACCCAGCGGGGGGCGGGGGTGGGGGGGGGGGGGCCCTGTGAACGAGGTTGATTAAGGCATACATGTATCGGAATATCATGAAGCTGAAGCGAAAAATATAGACTTGCAATGGCGACCTTGAAGATTAGATGCCCAACTTTAGGCTTTCATCCTATGCAAAATAGTATCCCTATGGTTAATACGGATCCNGGGGGGGGGGGGGGGGGGGGGGGGGGGGAAGTAAAAATACTTCCTGCGCTTAATGCGACATTGCACCATTAACCCAGATAGGCTCCGACTGAATGGGCCACTTGGCTTTACTTTAACAAATGAAACATGACGACCTTGCGGGATCGGGTTCAGAGTGGGATTCCAGTAGCTTTTGTATCTTGCAAGAAGCTTTCCTGGATAGCACACTTATTCCAGTGACCACCAGGGTAAGTAACCCTCAGCAGTTTTGTAAGGTTGCTTCTACAACTCGTCCGTATTCATGTGGAGAGAAGCAAGAACACAGCACATCAACGCCGGGGGAGGAGTTGAACCCACCCCGGTAAGACTCTCTGGAACCTCTATTTGTTCAAACACTGCCTGGATTGTTTTTAGAGCTAGGGAATTGTGTTATCTATTAATTTTTGTCAAGAACCAATGAAGTTACCCTTATCGAGAGAGTGGGCGACTCCGTGAACCATGATTTCCCCATCGTGGGTCCCACGCGCTAACCATTACCTCATTCCGTGTTCCCTACAAAGGACAACGGCTCTTCTATAAACACTTTATATATTGGCATTCTCATTGACAGTTATTGTGTGTTTAGATACAACAGTGCTGTCAATGGATGAGGAACATTCGTCAAAACTTTCTAATTTACCCGAGATGTTTAGAAATTCACACCATGCCAGGAAAATTATACAGACAACTCAACCGATTTTTGAAGGATTTTCAACCAGCCTTCGAAGCGTTGGATTTTCTAATGAGACAGAAGTTACCTATGCGACTTCTTTCTTAAGTCAGGTAGGGTTCTCTGAATATCACTGTTGGAGCATTGTCACTCAAGTCTGGATCAGCGACACCAGTTCATAAGTAGGCCTTTCCAGGAATATCACGTAAAATGGCCTAAATATCTTTTCGGAAATTCTCAAAATATCTTCTAAATATCACAAAAATTTTTTTAACTATCTCGAAAAACCCTCTAAATAACACTTATTTTTGTCGTGAAAATACACCGACTTTGAATCACGTAGGCCAAAATTTTTAAAATTTTCTTGCAGTATAGAAATACCCCAAAAAATATCCGGATATTTGTGGACAGGCCTATTGATGAGCTCAGACATACTCAAACCGGTAGAAATTGTGGGAAAGATCAAGTCGGACTCTAAGGAATTAAGCGAAAGATCGAGTTTATACGTTGTAAATTTTATCGTCGGCCTCCGCCGATAACGGTCTCGGCATAAAATATTTTTTTTATCGCCTATGACCGACGACATGCCTGCGAAGTTGAACTCAGCTCAAATTCGTACGCATGCCAGCGTTTAATGCCTGGTGAAGGTTGTGATACTAAATGTTCCAATATGCTGGAACCGGCAGTGTTCCGAGGATGTTGGCGAGGCATAAGAACTGGGCTGTAGGTACCATTGTGACTGAAGCGCCATCTTTGCTAATGCACCATCGACACTAATAGTATCGTTACTGAGGTAGCGTTCTTACAAATGTACCGTTTTAGTTAGGATACCAGTCACTAAGGCATAATTGTCGTTACATGTAAGGTATCGTTGCTACTTTTAAGTACCATAATGATTGTCATTAAAGCTGCCCTCTTAGTTATCTATCACGATTACTTTTATGCGTGCGTGATTATTGCTCAAGTACCCGGCATTGTCACCTTGTACTTTGTTTCTTGTGTTTCAGTTGGCCACAGTTTCTGGACGAGCGGTGAAAAACATCATTAGAAATCCGCAGACTTCCATTCTCCAGGTAAAAGAAACAGTACTTATTCTTCTCATAAATAGTAACCTCGAAATATCTTATTCAGTTAACAAATATTCAGAAGTGTACAGTTTGAAGACTTCCTTAAACAAACCCATGGTCAGGTACAGGATACTGCCAAAACATGTACAGTAAGCGGCCCTGGTAACAAGCTGTAACAGTTTTATGGGAGCGGAAAGTAATCGTCTGTATCTTGATAAACGATGTGTGTAGCAATCCCATCTACTAATCTTTTAAATGCCGCCATGTTGGCCACACGGTAGAAATGCGCATCAGTAGAACTCGGTATCAAAAGTAGCTCTTCAATCCTGGGAATCCGGCGACCAACAGCAACAACAAACATCTCTGGTCCCAGAGTCTTAATCTGCATGGTCGTCCAAATGAGCTTCTGTACCTTGATCGTGTCATTGAGGTTCCGCTCACATGGTCCGTCAGTCACCAGTAACACTCGCTTACGACTGCCGTCACGCACTCCCGAGTCACGGTTTAATAAGAGCATCTTGTGTGTCTTTCTGAATGCATCCAAAGTGTTTTTCTTTCCTCCTCTGTAATGAATTTTGCGAAGGCTTTCAATGGCGACCTTGCAAATGAAAAGCCAATAACATTGTTAGTTTTTTTCTCGGCAGCCTCTGTAACTAGTCAGTTTGCAACAAAAATAGTAGTGTATTTTACCCTAAGGGTAGATCAAACGGGACTATGGATTCCCTTTTTGGACGAAGCAGTGTGTTTGATATAAACCCCTGAAATCGAAAAATACCTCCATTTATTAGAAATGATGGAATCTTAAGTAGACAATTCCTTTGGGTAAATAATGATAAGAGAAATGAAATAAATGAAGAAGCGTTCTCAAGTAGAATTTCTCAGGGAATAACATTTCCGAGGCCTTCACGGGAGTTGAACCCATCACCTTCCATGTGCATGTTGAACGCTTTATAGGCTGGTTTTCAATGGCGCGTAAACAGGAGCAAGATACGCAGACGCGAGGAAGTTGCAGTTAAGTAGTGCGCCTTTTGTTGGGACATTTTCCTACCAAACTCGTTTAAGGACGGTCGTGAGCGGAGCTTTTTCATTTATTCGTTCTTGCCAAGAAGGCAATCAAAGAGAAGGCTGGGAACAAACCTCTTACCCTGGACGAGTTGAAATTGAAGTTGACAGTTGCGTTACTGCCGAATGTCACTGCAGCAAACTGTGTGTCAGGAGCAAACCTCGTCACCAGACTCCGAGCTGTGATTAGACTGAGATTAAAGTGTTCCTGTGAAATGGACGCCGATGAGTCCAGAATAAAAATGATGTCGTAATATGGAGTGTATCGCTTGCCTCTTGAGTCGGGTTGACGGTCCAGGAAATATTTCATTAGGTATTGCCTGGTTTCTTGTAGTGGAGGCACGTTTTGAAAACCTTAGAAATAAGACCAAAACACTTAAATTAGACATATGCTGAACGAGCAAGGGTCTGGGTACGAAAAGTTAAAATCAGTAATTTGAAAAACTGAGCCTGGTTCCTAAAACAGTATCTAAAAGTTAGTAACTTTACCAACTGTCAGTGTGTTTGGTTCAAACACGAAGATGTCAGTAATACAATTTTGAAAAGCTGTGATTTAAGAGAGCTTTTTATGGTTTGGACATTCCCGTCCCCGAGGCCGCGCTCCTTTTGGTCAGCACAAAGAATCGCGACCTCTGGCCGGACCCGATTTTCCTAGCATACGCAGAGTATTCGTTTCGTATTCTCAGCGCTGCAGCCAATCAGTTTTGACGGGAAGTCCGTGAATCGCGGACTTCCCGTGTTAGACCAGCCCAGAGGTCGCGATTCTTCCTATCAAGAAAAGCGGACTACTAAGTGATTAGTTCAGTGATGACAATGGCGGCAACAGCTTCAAAATGCCCTGGGGAGCTTATGAACTTTCCGATTAACATACGAGCGGGAAATTCAAATCATCGGAAAGACTGAACTTAAGACAAATTTTCCCCAGGGGAGGTGGCAGTGGAAGATTTTTCCGTTGCAAGTGGTTACCGTGAGATGCCCGGTAGGGACCATGGTTGCTCTCATTAACGGTTGATCGACAACGTTTGATTAGTTGTTGCTTGAAACTGAAGCAGAACCAAATTTTAGAGCATTCAAATTTCGCCCCATAAACAGCTTAAGATCTTAGTTTGTAACTTTCAA